CGCTGTTTCCCCTGGTTGAAAACACTTCTTATGCAGTGTGCCTTTTTCTTTTTTCTTTTTTTTTTTTTTTTTAAAGATGACCGGTAAGGGGATCTTAACCCTTGACTTGGTGTTGTCAGCACCACGCTCAACCAGTGAGCGAACCGGCCATCCCTATATGGGATCCGAACCCGTGGCCTTGGTGTTATCAGCACCGCACTCTACCGAGTGAGCCACGGGCCGGCCTTGCAGTGTGCCTTTTTGATGTTACTCCCATCACAACCTTCTCCACATACAACTCTAAGATAAGGAATGGTCAAGAGATGCAGGATCCAATAAATCATACAAATAATTCAGTCACTGCACTCTCAGATAAAAATCCTCCATCACTGCAGATCTTTAATTTAAATGCTTCTAGACATTGGATTATGGCATTACACCCATACCTCCTGTATATAAAAGCAGTCCTTAGAAAGTTCATGGAAGGACTTCTGTTATCTTTTAATTGAATTTTTCCATGAACTTTTTGAAGTACTCTCTCATACACCCTCTGCTTTCACCTGATCTATCATTCCTGTCCTGTCTTCTACTTTACTTTCTTGACTCAATATTTTATTGTAACTCATGTCAGTGGGGCAAGGCAAGAAAAGTCCTGAATGCAACACTCTGCACCCAGCAGACTCTCAATGCTAGTTGCAGCCAATATGATTTATATTGTTTAGAGAGATCTTTTCCCTGGCTTCGTCCTCATGATGTTGTAAGAGAGAAATGGAGCTTCTCAGAATCCCTCTGACCCTGCATTGTCTGAATGGACTGAGTCCCATGGAGGAGCTTTTGCAAGAGTCAGGAAACTTAAGTGTCTATTCTGGCTGCACTTCTTTCCCAAGGCTGTGACCTTGAGCAAGAATCCTTGCTGCTGTTTGCCTCCATCTCTTCAGGTCTAGAATGGGAATATTAACATTTCCTTCCCCTGGACTGAGGGGCTTGGAGAGGGTATGTGTATGATGTGTGTCTCCCTATGCCCAGCACAGACTATGAAGTATTACTGTGGACATTGTTGGGAGGGAGGGATGCCTTTCTTCCTGCAATGATTTACGGTCTCCCACCAAGGAAATCCAGCACTGGAGTCTCACTGTCTTCAAGCCTGTATCCAGCTGAGGATTCCAGGAAAAGGAAGAGTCTGTGGGCAGACACATAGTGGGAACATTATTTTTGGAATTGCTGCTCCTCTGCTAGAATGAAGAGGAATCTTAGACTGAAGACGAGATTGCTGGAATCATCTTTGCACTTGTCATCTGTTCATTGCAAGGGGATCTGGTTTGCCACTTCCAGCAGTGAATCTCTGATGTTCTGGACACTGTTGGAAGGCACCTTTTTCCATGAAAACTTCGCTTCATATCCAAATAAGAATCAAATATAAAGGACCCTTGACCTCTGGCCCAAGATGGCAGCACCCAGCACCCAGCACTCTTGCTGTTGCCCTGAGGTGGACCAAGGCTGGGATCCTCCATCATGTTGAAGCTAAGCTGGGCCACTCAGGTCCAGAGGAAGCCCAAGGCTGATGGCCTGACCTGGATGATAGTGCAAGCAGGCCAGGCCATGTCTGGGCCCCGACTTGGCCCCATCCTTGGTCAACAAGGCATTTCCATCAACCAGTTTTGCAAGGAGTTCAATGAGAAGACAAAGGACATCAAAGAAGGTATTCCTCTGCCTACTAAAACTTTTGTGAAGCCTGACAGGACATTTGAAATCAAGATTGGACAATACACTGTATCCAACTTCCTAAAGGCAGCTGCTGGGATTGATAAGGGGGCCCAGCAGACAGGGAGAGGGGTGGCAGGCCAGGTGATCTTGACGCATGTGTATGAGATCGTCCACATCAAAGCTCAGGGTGATGACTTTGCCCTGCAGAGCATACCCCTGTCCTCTGTCGTCTACTCCATCATCAGCTCTGCCCATTTCTCAGGCATTTGCCTGGTGAAGAACCTCAGTTCAGAAGAGCTGGAAGCTTTCTAGAGATAGTGAGACTCGCTCCTGGCTGCTCAGAAAGAGGCAGATTTGGCAGCCCAGGCAGAAGCTTCCAAGAAGTGACCCCTGCCCATTATACTCCATGATTTTGAAAGAAGCAGCTGGGAAAGGGACCAGTTGGAAAGACTGTGCCAAAGGGGAGGAAAGGAGGTCACATCAACCCGATTATGAGTTCCCCGACTTTAAATTACATATTTTACATATATTACACATATGGCTGTATCAATGGATCAAGCCTGAATAAACATATTTTGTCACCCTCCTATCCCCGCAAAAAGAGAAAATCAATATAAGACAATAGAAATAAGGCACAATGCCTCAGTGTGTTAGCTTGCTAGAGCTACTGTAACAAAGTTCCACAACTGGGTGACTTAAACAACAGAAATTTGTTTTCTCACAGTTCTGGAGGCTCGTATCTGAGATCAAAGTGTCAGCAGAGTCGTTCCTTCTGAAGGCTATGAGAATATATTCTATGCCTCTCCCCCAGTTTTGGGTGGTTTGTGAGTTGACTTTGGCATTCCATGATTTGTAAAGGCATCACCTTAATCCCCATTTTAGAAATCCCATCTTTTCAGAACACTCGTTACACTGGATTAAGGTCCCACCCTACTGCATTATGATCTCATCTTAACTAACTACATCTGCAATGACCTTATTTCCAAATAAGGTCACATTCTAAGGTACTGGGAGTTAGGACCTGAACCTATGAACTTGGGGGACACAATTCAACCCATAACAGTCATCTCAAGAAATACAGGTAAACAAATTGCTGAAAGAGCCTTTCAGAACGGTGAACCAAACTGATCTTAATCTCACCATGTTTAGAAATACCTCTAATCCTAAAGACAAGAACATTTGAAAGGAAATGAATGTAAAAAGCCATGGAAGACACATCATGCCCAGAACTCCTTTGACAAATACATTTATGACAGGAAAAATCATGTTAATTTCACAAATCATGGTTCAGAATGAAGGCTCACTCCTTTGTTCTATGAGAAAAGTTTAATTCCCAGGGATATGGAGTATTAATATACATTAAATGCACTGGAAAATTCCCTTAGATTACGAAGAGCATAAATGGATGAAACTCCCTGGAGAAACGGACCAATGCACAGCAGTGTAAAGAGAGGATTCAAGGCATAATTCCCAATGTGGGGAAGTCATGCAGACATCTCATCAGTGCAGGACTAAGAGATTCTAAGCAGATAATAATCAACCCTAGTGTCATGGAGAGATAAGGAACTCTGTACCCAACAGTAATAAGGAGACAATCTAAGCCCCAAGAGGCTGCACAGCTGATGGAGCAGAAGCTGCAATCATCTCGTTGACCCACCCTAGGATTTTCTTATCTCCACAGAAGCCTCAGCCTGTACAAGGGTGGGAGGCAGGGAGATTAGCGCAGGGAAAAGAGCCCAGCTTCCACCACATTGTCGAACCTGCTCAAACCAGGAGCCTCTCAATGGCTGGCCTGTGGCTCACTTGGCAGAGTGTGGTGCTGATAACACCAAAGCCATGAATTTGGATCCCTATATGGGATGGCCGGTTAGCTCACTTGAGAGAGTGTGGTGCTGACAACACCAAGTCAAGCATTAAGATCCCCTTACCGGTAAAAAACAAACAAACAAACAACAACAACAAAAAAAAATCATGTGCTTTCTCAACAGGAAATATGAACCTATCTCTCCCTTCCTGTTGAAACTATCCTAATGTCAGACCCTGTTGTCTCTTTGCTGTCCCCCTCATCTGAGGTCCTGGAGCCCCCTCTGTCTCACTAGCGTGGGATTGGCACAGGGAGAAAAAGAACATTAGCCTTGTTTTCTGCTACCCTTGCAGTCCATAATCTCTGAAAACTAAAAATGTTTTAGCAAGTTTGTAACAAAAATTGCTTATGACAAAACTTGACAAGAATTTATGCGTGGCTAATGTTAATTTTTCTATTCACACTTAGTGTAAATGCTTTTATATTTCATTTCAGAAATATTAATGTGTTTGTTTGTGGTCTACAGCCCCAGATCCAGGGGTGGTATATAATATCATATTGGAGACCTGGAGCTGTGGCTGGATAAAGATTTCATCAGTGACTCAATCAACAGGAAAGTTGTATCCAATCACATCTTTAAATGAGTCATCGATCCTATACCTATAAAAGGGAAGAGCCTTGAGAAGTCACGTCAGGTTAACCCAGTGCAGAAAGGCAGTCACACTTCAGCTCAGCGTTCAGCCCAGGATTACCCGGATTGAAGTTCAACTGAGAAGGAGGTAAGTTTCCAGAACAGAAAGAAAACATCCAATTTTGTGTGTTTGAGTGTGCATAACTGTGGATGTAGGTATAGCTATGGGGGGAAAGTCCTAGCTACAAAGACATGGGGGGTTCTCGGAAGTGAGGTATGTTAACTCTTAGCTCCCATGACAATTTTGGGAGCTGTGTATCTTTAGAGATAAGAGCCTCCAAAGGTCAAGGATTCAGATTCAGATCCCCATAATGGGCAGCCACAAAATAAATAAATGAATAAAGAGAGGTAAGAGCCCCATGACAGATATACTATATAGGAACCTGATAGGTAACATGCCTGGATCAAACAGTTTGTAAATGCCAGACTCCAGATTAGAATCCCAGCAGTCTGGTTTTGAATTTCCAGGTTTTAGCAATAGTGCTCCATCACCTTGTCTGTGTGGGATTGAGTGCATGTCTCCAAGTGTGAACATGTGGTCTGTGTGTTGTGGGGAAGCCAGGGAGGTAGTCCAAGTTCCAGATGAAAGAAAAGACATAGGTTCTTCTACAGAAAAAAAAAGAAAAGAAAGAGGCCAGAATACCACAACACCTAAGATGGAGCTGCAGGAGCTTACAGCGGGCCATGGAAGGACTTATTGCTTTTCCCTGGGGGTAAGGGAGAGCCATTGAGGGAGTAAATTGGATGGAGTGTGATGTGAGCAGATTAACATTTTGTAAATGTTGACTGGCTTTGTGATAAATGAATTAAGGAAAGGCAAGAATGTGTTCTATTTTTTCCTGTGAGGTTTTACCTGAATCATCTTTGCCTCATTAATTGATGAGATCAGGGTGGCTAGTTTGATCGGACCAGGTGAAGTTGACACACAAAGCCTAAGATGACATCAACTAACATAAATGAATTAGGTCTTTGTGTTCACATGTCACTCCCACCAAACACCCCCATTCTCTTATTTTATGGCATGAAATTTGCTTTTTTAAAAACTACAAATCTTTGAAATGTTAACCATTTACAAAATGAAAAAAAGGACACAAGTAGAGCAATGATACAGAAAAGGGATTTAATTTTTTATCCATTGTGCATTCCAAATGATCTGCCCACTATTGCCCAGGTAACATTATTTGCAATCAGAGATTAATTTTGAGCAATGCAAACTCAATTTTATCTCTGCTGAATCCTACATTCCAGTGAGAAAAGACAGGAATTAAAATTAGATAAACATAAACTTGTAACTTTAATAAAATCAGCGAAGCAAGGGACAGATGTTGTTCACAAGGGAGGGTAACCTAATGGAAAAAAAGAAATAGTAAATGGGATGAGGGAATTTTCCCTAAGGAGTGTATTATCTAACTGTCACTGTGGGTGTAGTTGGTGTAGACACCTTGCAGATGTCTGTGCCTGATGTAGAGTAGTCCTTCTTTATCCAGAGTTTTGCTTTTTGAGGTTTGAATTACCCACGGTCAACTGTGGTCTGAAAATATTACATGGAAAGTTCCAGAAATGAACAATTCGCAAGTTTTAAGTTGAAGACTGTTCTGAGTAGAAATCTTTTTTTTTTTTTTTAAAAGATGACCGGTAAGGGGATCTTAACCCTTGACTTGGTGTTGTCAGCACCACGCTCAGCCAGTGAGCCAACCGGCCATCCCTATGTGGGATCCGAACCCGGGGCCTTGGTGTTATCAGCACCGCACTCTACCGAGTGAGCCACGGGCCGGCCCTGAAGACTGTTCTGAGTAGAAATCTTGTGCAGTCTCACTGTGTCCCGCCTGGGATGTGAATCATCCCTTTGTCCAGAGTATCCACACTGTATTCGCTACCTGCAGGTCGGTCACTTAGTAGCCGTCTCAGTTACCAGATCAACTGCTGTGGTATTGCAGTGCTTGCACTCAAGTAACTCTTATTTTACTTAATAATGGCCCCCAAAGTGTAAGAGTAGTGATGCTGGCTATTCGGATATGCCAAAGAGAAGCTGTAAAGTGCTTCTTTAAGTGCAAAGGTGAAAGTTCTCTACTTAATAAGGAAAGAAAAACAATCATATGATGAGGTTGCTAAGATCTATGGTAAGAATGAATCCTCTATTCATGAAATTGTGAGGAAGCAAAAAGAAATTTGTGCTGGTTTTGCTGTCACACCTCGAACTGCAAAAGTTATGGTCACAGTGTGTGAGAAGTATTTAGTTAAGATTTAAAAAGCATTAAATTTGGGCCGGCCTGTGGCTCACTCAGGAGAGTGTGGTGCTGATAACACCAAGGCCCCGGGTTCGGATCCCACATAGGGATGGCCGGTTGGCTCACTGGCTGAGCGTGATGCTGACAACACCAAGTCAAGGGTTAAGATCCC